CCATGGGTTGCCTCACACACAGAGGGCGACTGGTGGCAGCAGTTGGCAGCCAGGGAAGATCAGCCCTGATTGTAGGCCAGACATAGGCACCCTGCCTGTGCAAATATTATATGTGAAGGAACCAAACTTATTTTGCATAGATATTTTGCTTTGCTTCTTTTGTGCAAATAACTACAGTTTACTGTATTGATATTTAGGAATATGGAGGTTCATCAAACCTTAATAGTCCTCAACTGGCAGAATTACTGGAAAAAACATGGCAACATTGGTGCCAGATATGTCATTTATAGCTCATTCTTTCATAAGGCAGCAAACCACTTCATATGCCCAAATCATTTCCTTTCTGGAGAAGATAAAGTATTGTGTCAGCATGCTTACCACGTGTGGTAATTGGTAATGTCTGTACCGCATGGCTTACTTTTAACCTTGTCCAACACAGCTCTTCTACCTCCTATGATTACCATATGTTACATCACTAGGTTAATGGAATCATTTCCATCTTTCCCTTCTAATCACAAATGTCATTGTGGCTCAATTCCATCAGCACCACACTCAATGAAGAATAAAGTGTTCAGTACTCTGAGCATAGAAGAAATGTTTGTAATTTTCATATTTAATGGCTTACTTAATTTTCATTTAAAAAATTAGCTGAATTTTTTAATGAATGCTCCACTGTGGAGAATGTGTGTCTGCTAATTAAAATAGAAAATGATTATGTCATTCTCAACTCTTGCATGTAAATACATAAAGGCATTAAAAATTAGATGATACTAATAAAGATTATTTTTTATCATCATAAAGCACTTTTTGTTTTTGTTTTTAAGTGAAAACTAGTAGCAAAGGATTGAAGTGGATTTAAAAAATAGTCAATTTATTCTAGAATCTTTTTTTATAGAAGGAATCTATAATAATAAAAGCATAATATGCTAATTAGACCAGACAGCTGAACGACCTTCCGGATGTCAATTATTTTTACCTTTATTGAGGTATACTTTGCATATAATATACTTAACTAAAATGTACACTTTGATAATTTTTGACAAATACACCTATATAACCACAAAGTCAAAATATAGAATATTATAATCCCACAAAGTTCCCTCTTAATCTTTTGCCATGAACCCTCCACACCAGCTCAGTCCCAGGTGACCACTAATGTGCTTTCTTTCACTATAGTTTTTTAAAATTTATATTATTGAAAGTAATAATAGATGTATCCTTTTTTCACTATAGTGATTGCCAGTACAAGAATTTCATATAGTAATAGGAATCATATAGTATGCACTCTTTTGTGCTTGGAGTTTTTTGGTTTTTACTCAGCATATTTTTGCGATTTGTCCATGTTGTGTTTATCAGTAGTTCATTTTTTATTTTGTTAATCCTCGCCTAAGGATATTTTTTCCATTGATTTTTAGAGAGAGTAGAAGGGGTGGGGTAGAGAAATATTGATGAGAGAGACACATATTGATTGGTTGCCTTCTGCATGCATCCTGACGGGCTGGGGATCAAATGTGCAACCCAGGTAAGTGCTCTTGACTGGGAATTGGACCTGTGATCCTTCGGCACGCAGGTCAATGCTCTGTTCAATTGAGTAACAGTTCATTTTTTTTTGAGGTGGGATTCAGGGAGGTGGCTTCAGTACCCCCTAATCCCCCCATGGCTGCTGGCACAAAAGCCCACAACTGGAGACTTAGAACAACAGAAATTTATTCTCTCATAGTTCTTTTTAAAAAAAAACAATTTTATTGATTTCAGAGAGGAAGGGAAAGGAAAAGGGATAGAAAAATAGAAATATCGAAAGAGAAACACCACATGACCTCACTCATTTATAGATAATAAAGAACATTATAAACTGATGAACCAAAAGATAGATATAGAGACAGTAAAGCAACAAGCAGACTCAAATTACAGGGGGGAGGGAAGGGAGATATGGGAGAGATAAGAGATCAACCGAAGGTCTTGTATACATGCATATAAGTACAACCAAAGTACAACCTGGAGAGGGTGGGTATGTATGGGAGGGGGGGGGCAATGGTAAAATATGTACACAGATAATAATTTAATAATAAAAAAATTGCAAAAAAGAAAAATAGAAATATCAACGATGAGAGAAAATCATTGATTGGCTTCCTCCTGCACGCCCCCAACTGGGGACTGAGCCTGAAACCCGGGCATGTGCCCTTGATTGGAATCGAACCTGGGACCCTTCAGTCCGCAGGCCAATGCTCTATTCTCTGAGTCAAACCAGCTAGGGCAACAGCTCATTTTTATTGCTAAGTTCCATTGTATGAATATGTCATAACCTACTTATCCATTCACCTATTGATGGACATCTGGATTATTTCCAAGTTTGTGCTATTAATGAATTAGCTATTAAAACTTGTGAACATTACATGCGCTTTTTTGTGATATGTATATGTTTGGTGGACATATTTTCACTTCTTATGGATAAATATCTGGGAGAAGAATTCTGGGTCATATGATAAGAACTGTCAAGCACAATTCCTTTTAAACTTATGTTACCATTAACATAAGTATCCATAAAAGGACACTATACATTTTCTCAAAAGAGCTACAGCTTGGAGAGGGAACAATTCTTATGAGAAAAAATTCTCAAAATTGAAATACCTTTGATAACATGCTTTTCATAGCTCAATGTTTTAATAGTAAGAAAGGGAATGAGAGAAGTATAAGAGGCGAGGAACTAAAAAAGAAAGTAAAGCAATGCAAAATAATGACTAAAAAGATTCTTTGACAAAGGCAGAATCATCCTACACAGCTGCTCTGAGATCCCAGCACTGCTGTCAGCAACCTTCTGGCAAAGCTACCCTGTCAAATGGATGCACTAAGATTGATCTTTTGTGAAGTAATATCTTTATTAATATACGCAAACACACCTCTCATTTATTGTAATATAGCGGCGTGGGCTTTTTCTTTTAGTAGTAATGTTTCCCCAACATATAACACTTCCCTTTGATATGTGGGCTGAGTCATAAATTAATGTCACAAATGAATGTCACCTAGATGACAAAGGCAACCACATTACCAAATAGGAAGGTGTAGCTTCATGTGAATTGTTAGTCGAAAGCTATGTACTCTTGAACTCAATGTCATTGTCAGATTCTGAGATACTAAGAATGGAATGTAAAATTGTTGGAATGTAAAATTGTGCACATTTAAGTTTGCAGTCTTAAAAGTTTTGTCAGTCTTTTCTAGACGTTCTGAAATGGAAATAGAACAGGTGGATTAAAAATAAAGACAAATGAGTTTAAATACTTCTTGGCATTTCATAGAGAAGTTGCTGTACACTGGTGATGTTTTAAATCACATAAATACATTGAACATGTCTGGAAACAGACTTATTTATTGGGTCTTTATATTTACCTATGAGACAAAAATAAATAGTTATAGAGGACTCATGTGCATTACTTACTATACGCTTTCCACCATGTGTTATTTAATCTCCAGCTGGGAGAGAGTATGTATTTTATGTGATGCCATAATGTACATTAGTGAGCACAACCCACTTAATCTTAAAATAACAGTATCAGGTCAGAGATTTAGAATACAGTATTACGTTTAAAAAATTGGTAGGGAGCCAAAACCGGTTTGGCTCAGTGGATTGTCCTATGGACTGAAAGGTCCTGGATTCAATTCCGGTCAAGGGCATGTACCTTGGTTGAGGACATATCCCTAGAAGGGGGTGTGCAAGAGGCAGCTGATCAATGATTCTCTCTCATTGATGTTTCTAACTCTCTATCCCTCTTTCTTCCTCTCTAAAAAAATCAATAAAATATATATTTTTAAAAATTGGTAGGGAGACTCCTTCTGCCACTTAATTGACTATAAATGGCATATTTCAAACCTTAAATCCAACTGAAACCTAGAAACAATGGAGAGGATGGGCAGATAATTTATGAATATGAGTGTTTTTTTTTAGATATAGAGGTGAACATATTTTTCAAAGTAGAGAAAGAATATGTTTGCTGAATTGCATGTTACATGGACATAGCAGTATGCAGAAAGGCTGCTATCATCTATACAGCCTCTCCCTTTCCCAAACCCTCACTCAGTAAGGCTTAAAATAATAGGTTTGTATATAATTTGGTAAGAAAATTTGAATTATTTAAAGTTTCAGTTTCAATCTAAAAGAAAGACTGGGGAGATGAGGAAGAAGAGCAAACAAAATGGGGGGGAAATACATATTATGTAATAATGTACAGTATATATTATGCAGAGAGTAAAGAAGGGTGAGCTGGAACACTAATGTCTTTGCAGTGGAAAGATCTGGATTTGCTCCTTGTTGCATCACTGCATGTGACCTTGAGCAAAGTCACAATGTCTTTACTGCTCAGTTTCATCTATAATGGTGGTGTCTTCTACCTTGAGGCATTATTGAGAGGATTAAAGGGACGAAAACCTATCCTATATTAATGTCATCCACAAAGTACTCACAAGGTAGCATCTTTCAACAGAGGAAGACGCCAAGGCAAGGCAGGAACAGATAAGGAATCCAATCAAAGTGGGAACCCACAGACTTGGAGATGCCTTGGTTCACTTTATCCCCTCCAGGCTAGGCTAGGGTACCCGTACAATAAAGATACTCAGAGTTGGAGAGTCAAGTGTCCGTTGGACTTCGGGAACTCGACGGGGAGGGACCCGGGAATTAATTAGAGCCGGTTGCCATGGCGACAGTCTCTAGGCAGCGTGGGCTGAGCTCTCGAGGATGGGCCTCCGCGGGACCCCGAGCGCGTGCCCGCCGCCAACTTTCCCTCCAGATCCGAGGAGCGGCGCGCCCCGCCCCCGCGCCCGCCGCGCACGTCGGCGCTCGGCGGCGCGCACGCCTGCGGAGCCCTCTCCAGGCAGCCGGTGCTGATCGCTCGCTCGTGCCGGTGCGGCCGCCCGCCGCCCTTGTGGAAGCGGAGGCTCGAGGGCCGCCCCCTCCCCTTCCTGGGCTTCCCCCCACCCACTTCCCGCTGGGCGCCGGGGCGAGAGCAGCGATGGCCGGCTGCGGTCCTGAGGAGAAAACTTACCGGCGCTTCCTGGAGCTGTTCCTGGGCGAGTTTCGCGGACCCTGCGGCGGCGGCGAGCCGGAGCCGGAGCCCGAACCCGAACTCGAGTCGGAGCCCGAGCCCGAGCCCGAGCCGGAGCCCGAGTCCGAGTCCGAACTGGTAGCGGCTGAGGCGGCCGAGGAGGCTTCGAGTGAGGAGCCCGGGGAGGAGGCGGCCGCGGTCGCCGCGACGGAGGAGGGGGAGCAGGAGCAGGACCACGACCCCGAGCCGGAGCCGGAGGAGGAGGAGGAGGAGGCGGTGGAGGACGAGACGGCGGCGGCGGAGGGCGAGGAGGAGGCAGCGGCCACCCCGGGGCAGTCGGCCGTGCCGCCGCCGCCGCCGCCGCAGCCCCAGCTGCCGCCGCTGCCCCCGCTCCCACGGCCGCTGTCGGAGCGCATCACCCGCGAGGAGGTGGAGGGCGAAAGCCTGGACCTGTGCCTGCAGCAGCTCTACAAATAGTTAAGTAGCGGGGCTCGGCCGGGGGTGGGCCCGCTCGCTGTCCCCGCCGCGGCGCCCCTCCAACTGCTCTCTTCCCCGCTCCTCATCCCCCACCCCCGCGCCTGGCGTCGCCGAAAGCGCCCCCGCGGCTCCGGCTCCGGCTCCGGCTCGGGCGGGCGGGCGGGCGGCTGCGGGCTGCCCACGCCCGCCCCGGCCCCCGCGCCCTCCCGCCGGGCCGGGCCCTTCCCCCCAGGTCACCTCCACCTCCCACTTCTGGGTCCGCTTCACAGACCCTCTCCCCTTCGCGCCTCGGAAGGTCCTGGGAGCTCCGTCCTCCCAGGTCCCCTCCTCCCAGGGCTCCCCCCCCCCCCCCCCCCCGCCCGGGTCTGTCTGTCTTCCCGGGTCTGAGCGCCTTGTTTGGCGGCTGATGAGCGGTGCCTCCTGCGTAACCGCACCGGCAGGGATCATGCCGGCCCGTGGCCACCGGAGAGAGATACGAGTTGGAAGTGAAGAGTTTCTTTAGATGCCTTCATACACTGGAGTCTGGTTATCCCAGTTGAAAGAGATATGATAAAGTCGTGATTGAGGGACGTGGGGAGGAATTGGGAGGTGAAGGGTAAGCAGCATTTTACAAGCTGAGCCTCCAGGTGAGAGACAAGTGGACAAGTGAAGGCTGGCTTGACGAAATTGCCATTTAGATGCAGCATTTTCAGCCCATTAAGTAGATGGGGTCGGGGAGAGGAAGCAGATGGCTTAGCTACACACAGATGCAAGTCGAAAATAGAAAGGTCAAGGCTTTGCCTTTCATCCCAGTTCTGGGTTTTAGGGGCTTGAAATAGAAACGGTTTGCCATCGCGTCTCTTTCTAAATGGAATTGTTCTGAAATAAAATGACAGGAGAATACTAACAAGTTTCTGGGAACATTGGTAAGCCTGGGAGTGTTTTGCCGTTCTGCTGGTTGTTGTAATGAAAGGTATAAAACTTTGCCCCCCCCTCCCCCCAAAAAAAGTTTTCTACTGCAAGATTCACTGCAATTAAGTTCACACTCACGTCTTGGATCCTCTCAAAGGCTTCAATTAAAAGAAGGGCCTGGAAAGTTTTGTCTTCATTCAACCTATCAGATAGCTGATCAAAATTTTCCTCTTAAAGCTGAAGCTTAGCATTAGGTAAGAAACATTTAACTTATTGCTGTAGAAATGGACTGTGTTGATGTTCCACACTTTATAAGAGATTTAAATTTAAATTTTGAAATACTCTCCGATTACCTAAGTAATAATGTTTCTTGGCGAATTAAAAAAAAAAAGTGGTGTGTAATACCCATGTGGAATGACAAACAGTATTAACATTTTAGAGTCGTCCTAGTGTTTGTAATTTGCCATTGAAAGGGCTTCCGAAATGTCACTTTTTTTTTTTTTAACACTATAAAAACACTTAAAGCTTCTTTTTACAAACAAAATGAAATGTTTAATAAGGTGGAAGAATTTATCTCAGAATCAGACTGATGCTATTTGGACAGTTTTTACCTTTGTAAATGCTGTTGCAGAACTTAAAGAGAGAAACATTAGGGAAGTTCCATTAAAAAGAGAGTCATTAGTTAAGAATAACTATAAACATTTGTCATTCAAGGCTTTTAAAGGAATGAAATCTGCTCTAGACACATTGGCTCAGTCCACCCGGGTCTTTGAAGGGTCCCAGGTTGAGTTCAATTCCCATCAAGGGCCGGTCAATGATTCTCATCATTGATGTTTCTATCTCTCTTTCCCTATCTCTTCCTCTCTGAAAATCAATAAAAATGTATTAAAAAAAAAAAGAAATCTGTATAAAGATGATGACAAGTAGATGTATGTTTTTCCATTTCGAAGGGCAGTAAGATTAGTTTCAATAAATGTGTAAACTAGAAAAAGTATTTAAAAGATCCCATGGCTATGTAATGAAGAATAAAGTGAATTTGAAGTAATACTACCAAAATTAAAGTTGGAAGATATTACTTTGCTTTAAGTCAAATTTCATCCTTTATCCTGTTTTGAGTCCATTACCTGTTTTTATTCATATATAAAATGGCTGGTTTGTTTATGTAAACTAACTTTAAAAATTTTAACAGATAAACCAAAAACTAAAAAAGAACCCCACAGAACTTAGAAATACTTTTAATGCTTTGTTTCTATTTTATTTATAAAAGAAGTCATATCACTTAGTTACAAAAATCAATATTGGAAGACATGGTAGGGGTAGATCATTTTCTGCCCAAGCACTTTATTTTACATATGAGAAAACTATGGATTCAGATTCAGAAATGACAGATTATGTACAAATAATTTCAACAGTTCTCGATAAAGAACTTCCCAATATGCCAAGGTTGTGGGTTTGATCCCTGGCCAGGGCACATACAAAAATCAACTGGTGAATGCATAATTAAGTGGAACAACAAATAAATAGAAAAACTCCCTGACATATTTACAATGTTAGGTTCTCAAATTTCCCAAGAAATATTCTTAAATAATTCTGATTAGGAATATGTTGGAATTTGCTTATTGGGGAAGGTGAAGATTGTTTTTCTAAGTATTTTCTCAAATACCCACCTACTCTATTTATTTTGGGAATTCTTAATATTTTAAAAAAATTATCAGGCTTGGGAGGGTATGTATGGGAGGGGGGGAATGGTAAGATATGTACACAGATAATAATTTAATAATTAAAAAAATAAAATAAAAATTAGCTTGTAAAATGCATGTTTAAGTTCTTAAGTGAGGTTACCTGAACTATATATTCACTAATTTGATAGTTGGGATTGGTGTAAGAAGAAATTAACAGTGTTTAATGCCAGTTTCTTAAATCACTAGTGTTTTTTCCTTGTCAATATTTTAGAAGTATTCAATAAGTAGCTGCTAAGGTTCTCTGAAGAAAAAAATAAAGGTCCTCATTCATAGGTGTACAATTTTAATCCAGTCTCTTCCTGCACCCCCCACATCCCTTTCACCCTGGTAATTATCAATCCACTCTCTTTCTTTGCCCCTGATTCTATTATATTCAGTTTATTCTGTTCTTCAGATTTTTAATTCACTTGATTTTTAGATTCACTTGTTGATATATATGTATTTGTTGATCATAATTTTTATCTTTTTTTCTTCTTCTTCCTCTTCTTAAAGAATACCTTTCAGCATTTCATATAATACTGGTTTGGTGGTAATGAATTCCTTTAGCTGTTTCTTATCTGTGAAGCTCTTTAGCTGACCTTCAATTCTGAATAATAACTTTGCTGGGTAGAGTAATCTTGTTTGTAGGTTCTAGCTATTCATCACTTTGAATATTTGTTGCCACTTCTTCCTGGCGCGCATAGTTTCTGTTGAGAAATCAGCTGATAGTCGTATGGGTGCTCCTGTATAGGTAACTGTTTTTCTCTTGCTGCTTGTAAGATTCTCTTTGTCTTTTGCCCTTGGCATTTTAATTATGATGTGTCTTGGTGTGGTCCTCTTTGGATTCCTTTTGTTTGGTGTTCTGTGTGCTTCCTAGACTTGTAAGTCTATTTCTTTCACCAGGTGGGGGAAGTTTTCTGTCATTATTTCTTCAAATAGGTTTTCATTATCTTGCACTCTCTCTTCTTCTGGCACCCCCATAATTCTGATGTTGGTACACTTGAAGTTGTCCCAGAGGCTCTTTACACTATCTTCAACTTTCTGGATTCTCTTCTCTTCTTGCTTCTCCAGAGGAGTGTCCTTTGCCTCTTTGTATTCCAAATCTTTGACTTGATTCTTGCATTCCTTTAGTCTGCTGTTGGGTCTCTTGTATATTTTTTTTCCAGTCAGTATATGTTTAATTTCTAGTTGGTCCTTTTTCATATCCTCAAGGGTCTCGTTAAATTTATTGGCCTTTTCTAGGAAATTCTTGAAAAACCTTATAACCATGGTTTTGAACTAATATATCCAGTCATTTGTTCTCTTCCATTTCTTTCATTTGAGATATATTTCCTTGTCTCGGCATTTTCGCTGCTTCCCTGAGTTGGTAAGATGGCTTTGTGTGTTTGGTGTCCTATATGGCCCGGTGGGTCAGCCTCCTCAGTTACCTGAGGAAGACACTCTTGGTTCACCCCTTTATCAACTGTGTGCTCAGCTTTGTTGTAGTTAAGCCTTGATTGCTGTTGGGAAGAATTGACCTCCAGGCCAATTGGATGTGAATATCAGCTGTGTCTACTCCTGTATTGGATACCTTCTGTATTGGAGACACTCTTATATTATAGGATCAGACTTGCAAAATTGCAAAAGCCTCTGTGCTCAGCTTGGATGGGGTGGAGTCTCAGGGCTGAGCCAACAGTCTTGGCTTCCAGTCAGTCCTGCCTTTGTGCGTGCCTCAGACCTCTGCCTTCCACGGCTCCCCTGAGTTTCCACCTGGCAGTACAGGTTCTCCCTGCAAGAGTGTGGGTGCCCTAGGAGCTCACCCGGAATTGGGTTGGGTCTCTGTAGTCTGGAACTTCTGACTCTTTCCACTTTGGAGAGGCCCGGCAACCTCCACAGTCAGACCTCTCTGCGCACACAACTCACGTGACTGTAGACTCTGTCTGCTGCGGCTCCCGGCTCCCCCGAGTCTCCCAGTCTCTGAGTCTCTGGATGCCTTTCTCTACAGTCCAGACTCCATCCATACGAGCCTGGGTCCACGGGGTTTTGGACGGGGTTGCGGTTTAGTGCAGTTGTAACTGGAATTCATTGCAACCGGGGGCTTTCTTTCCCCTCCTGCCAGCCAGGCACTCGGCCGCCCTTCCTCTCTGCACGTGAGCGTCTCCCTACTTCAGCGCTTTGCAGCTTCCCTGATCCGTGAGCCTCTCTCTTTCTTTCTAGTTGTAGATTTTCCCACTCAGCCAGCTTTCCTGTGGTTTTGGGTGATGTCCGTTCTGTCTTTTAGTTGTTGTTTTAAAATTGTTGTGCAAGGTGGCAGTTTAGGTGCTTACCTAGGTTGCCATTTTGGTTTCTCCTTTTTTATTTTTTAAAAGTTAAAAGAGAATAAATATTTTTGCTCAGTTACTTTGGAG